AACGGACCCTATAGAAGTAAGACATGGTGTAAAACAAGGGAATCCTTCATCTCCTAAATTGTTTAACATTGCCATGGATCCTTTGATAGGCATGTTGGAGGAAACTGGATCTGGAATAATGACGGATCTAGAGGGAGAGCCTCTCCATTGTATGGTGTTGGCATTCGCGGATGACATAGCACTCTTAAGTGGATCTCACCTCAGGATGATTAAGAATTTGAAGATCGTACAACGTTTCTGTGATAACACTAGTCGCATGATTAATGTTAAGACCACCAAAGGTTCCTACTTTGAATGCAAAGGTAAAACATTTTTATACAATTGTTTAAAGGAATGGAAGCTCGGGGTGGGGCAGCAGGGTTCAATATATTACCCCAGGTGAGCTAGAAAAGCATATAGGTGCGCCAGTCAATCCGTGGACAGGAATACGATTGGCCGAATGGGAGAAAACGCTTAAGGTATGGGCAGAAATCTGAGAAGATCAGCTCTTTGACCGATGCAGAAAGTCGAAATTTTTCGAACTTACTTTATCCCCAGCTTACACTATCATTTGGTTCTGGCCGAGGCGTCTCAAAATATTTTGTGTAGTTTGGACTCTTTTATCCAAGGTATTATTAAAGAGATTTTACATCTACCTTGTTGTATATCAAATGGGGTATTATATGCTCATAGTAGGGACGGTGGTTTAGGGATTCCACATTTGGAGATCAGGTCCTGATTGCCATTTTGAAAAAAATGCATGGCACTGGAAACGTTGGATAGATGAGGCCATTCACGCATCGTTTCGGTTTTGTGGGGAAAGGAACATGAACGCGATCGTGGAACTAACAAAACTGAAAGTCATGCGAGAAATTTGGTCACCAGGACAGGTGGGTATGGAGCTCGAGAAAGATATGGGAGCTGAGGAAAAAAAGAGAATTGGTAACTAGGCTGAACTCGAATTATAAATGATTGGAGAGGGATAGAATGGCTTAGGTAGATGGCCTCACACTGCCAAGGATTAGGCATGCACTACTTTAGAAATGATAAGAAATGAAATGCATGGATCAAAATGGCAACGATCATGAAAACATCAAAGGTAATTAATACCTTGCTAGTGTGATGTAATATATATCCAACTAGAACAACGATAACTCACGGAAGAACTCTCTGTATTTAAACATGCTGGAGATGTGATGCAACATTAGAGACACTCCCACATATTTCTGGATGGTGTCCAGCTGTGAAAAATGCATGAATTAAAAGGCATAGTAAGATTATGGAGAGATTATTTCAATTCATGGGGAAGTCCGGTGGGAAGACTTTGGTGGAATTTCGGCTAAAGGACGAAGCAGGGAAATTGTGGAAACCGGATCTGATTTTCCAGAAAGATTCGGTGGTTATTGTGGTCAATGTAACAGTGAAATTTGGAAAAGGCTTGAGTTGAGAAGACGGCCAAGTATAGGCACCTGCCGGATGGAATTAGAGAATTAACGAAGGGCGATATACCGAAGTTTTATGGTTTTGTAATGGGTGCAAAAGGCAAATGGGCGACAACAAATAATAAATTAACGGGAAGTCTCGGGATTCGGAGGTTTCGATCTTTCGCCTAAGACCTATCTAGGTTAATGCCTCATTAACTCTGAAACTGTTGCAAATCTCCAGTGACTGCTGAGAGAGTTGATAGACTCCAATAGCTCTGATATAGTTTTCATGCTTGCATATTTTATATTGTTTTAATGGTTTTAGAATTCTATTATACGTATATTTTAGACCTTAGTATATTTTGTTTTTTTTTAAATCTTTTAGAATTTTATATTGTGTTTTAATTAATAAAGTTGTTTAGTTTTAGTCACTTGTAAGGGTGGTGGGTAAGGGTGTTTTCGTAATAAATTTTCACACAGGCACATCAGATGATGTTATCAGGGTTTATATGCTAATCAACAGGTTGTGTAACCCCACTCATAGTTCCTGCACATGGTGTTCTGCTGTAGAATAGGAAGACCCATTCCCTTTTTGTAAGATCTAGTTGGTTTAGCTATATAGAGGGTTTTAACGGCACGTCGACAAGCGACGTTAAAACTCGGAAAGGGCACTGTCTTTTTACAGTGTTTTTAATAGTATATTCCTTTTGGCTGCTCCCAGCAAGCAAGGCACTGACTATATCCAACCAGCCAGCCTTGCCCGCAAAATTCAAAACTGTCCAATATTAGATGTGGTTTCATGATCGGACCTCATTTGGTACATAAGTCGCATATACAAATAATTATGCTGACAGTGAATTTAGGATTGTCAGTCAAAGTCGCAGTGTCGACTTGAAATTACTTTTAATACTACAGAGGGTACTGTTCTTTGCAGACAGAAAGAGCATGTGTACTCACTGCACCTATTTCAACTCGACAAGACATGTGACAGCCATTCTCTGGTCAAGGTATTGCCTTGAGAAAGGAACCAACATCAGTCCAACATCAACCAACATAAACCACCTGCATGGTGTAAATTTAGACAACGCATGGCAGTTAATTTCAGTCATCATCTAGCATTCTCCATGGCAACTCCATTAAAACTCATAGATAGCAAGAACTGCAGATGCTGGAGTCAGAGATTATGTCAGGTTATGTCGGATCAAGGAGGTGGGGATGAGGAGGAGGCTTGGACATGGGATGAGGCTGGGGGTTGGAGAGAATTTAAAACTGGTAAATTCCACGTTTAGGCCATTAGGCTGTAGGCTCTAGAGGCATATTCTGCCTCAGGAGCCTACAGCCCGATGGCCTAAACATGGAATTTACCAGTTTTAAAATCTCCTCACCCCCAGTCTCTTCCCATGTCCAACCCTCCCTCTCATCCCTGCTCCCTTGACCTGTCCCATCTTCTCTCCCACCTATCTGCCCCACCCACCTCACTGACCAATCCCAACCACTCCCTACCTGCATTCATCCATCACCATCACACCTACCTTCCCCGCCCCACCCCTCCTCTCTCTATTTATTTCCCAGCTTCCTTCCCCTTCCCCCTCCCCATTTCTGAAGAAGGGTCCCGACCCGAAACATCAGCTTTCCTGCTCCTCTGATGCCGCCTGGCCTGCTGTGTTCTTGCAGCTCCAAACCGTGTTGCCTTTAAAACTCATAGTCCATTTGCCAACCAATCAGCAGTCTCCTCTTGGACAGTACAAAATGCAGCTTTCCCTTTTTGTTGGTATTTTGTGTCAACTGTCCTAATGCATGCTAGATAAAAGCCTCCACAAAATATGTTTTTTCAGCAATAAAGTTTTATACTACCGAAGAATTATTGAAATAGTTATTGCAAAAAAGATCTTTTATGATGAGACTACCAACTTAACCTACTTATCGCACAATACCAAACCTAAGATAGCTTTACTCCTAATTTGTTTCACAACATGTTCTTAGAAATGATCACAAACCCATTCAAAGAGTTCATCTTTTAGAAACTTTTGCCAAATTAATTTAAACCTGTACACAATTTCCTCGAAAGTATTTTATTGTCTTTGCTCTAAGTTCCAAATAATTCTTGCTTAATTCCCCCTGTAATGGTATTTATACTGGTTGGGCCTAAAAGCTACTTACATGAACTTTCTCATCCTTTTTATTACTAATCTCCACGCATTATGCTTCTACTTCCCGAGTCTGTGATGGTCCTTGCATAATCCTCTACTGCGAGGACCATTCCTCCTCCTATTCCATTCTTTTTGTCTTTCTGCAATGTTATGTCCGCTGAAGTACTTATTACCAATTATGGTACTGTTCCCAAAGGCTAGAGAGCTGAAATCATACTCAAAGACAAAAGAGATAGAGTGAAACGGAGGCTGACACAAAGATGGGAGTAACAAATTCTGTTTGGCAATAAAGAGATAATAACAATATTTGAGGATTGTACAGAAAGAAAATAATCATAAAATAAGACACAAATACTGGAAAATAAACAAAAAACAATGATAAACATAAAATGAAGTCAAGACACGGACAAGAAGAGAGGGGTTTCTTTTGATTGTGAGGTGATTAACCAACAATATTTTCAGAATTTCAATGCTGAAATTCTAACAACCCATACCATAAAGTATAAACCTGTATTGAAAAGATTAATTCATTATGTTGTGATAGGCAGAGTGTGAATAGTTTTGAACGATTTTATGCATAATATTTTGGTATATCCAGATTTCTCAAAATCCATACTTTTTTGAAGCATATTACTCTATATCTATTCTGTAAAAGTTTAGAGAAATGACAAACATTGCCTCGATCAGAGAATTCAATGCAAAATTCACAAATTAAACATTTTACAGTTTTTTTCTCTCTTATCCAATCTGCATTTCATATGCAAAAACAGAAACTGCCAGAAAAACTCAGCAAGTCTGGCAGCATCTGTGGAGAGAAAGCAGAGTTAACGTTTTGGGTCCAGTGACCTTCCTTCATAATATTTGTTCTTCAGTGTTCACGTTTGGTGAAATGCACTAAAATTCAGAGAAGTGTCGTCACTGGGGCCGAAACATTAACTCTGCTTTTTCGCCCCCCACCCTCCACAGATGTTGTCAGACCTGCTGAGTTTTCCAGCAATTTCTATTTTTGTTTGAGTTCTACCATCAAAAGTTTTGTTTTTTCCTGTATTTCATAAGATCTGATTGTTGATTTAATTGATATATAATGTGACGTAGCCTTTAGCTAATCAATAGAGACCAAGTCCTTCCAGTTGAGTTTGTGAGCTTGAGCAGAACACTTTGTCTAAGCAGTTGTATATCACATCACACCCTAAAACTATGAACAAGAAAACTCTCAAAGCCAAATTAAAAGGCAGAATGCACGCAAAAACTAAAAGTTATTTTCTGAAGATCTACCATGTGTGAAGATAATATTGAACAGTTTAAGAATTGGTTTGGCTTTGACATTACAAATGTTTCCAGAAAAGTAATTTCTTTAAAATTAAAAAAAACAATGAAATCTTCAAACGCTGCAGAAGTTGTTGCACCATCCATACCACAGGATGTAGTTATCGGGTAATTTACTTACTGTCATTCTCTCCTTGGGTTGCTTAGCAACAGAGAATTTCTGGTCTATAACATAGGCACCTTCAACACTTCCAGAAGCTGGGTAAAAAGAATATTAATATTAGAATACAACATTGTACTTTTTTGTGACAATCAAATAGAAATCAAAATGCGAATGTAAGCAGAAGACTTAAAATTAGTGTTGCCATAAGGGATGGGAAGCAACTAATGAAATACAAATTACCTAAACTGACAAATAAAAAAGCTCAGTGGGGAAGGAATCTTTGTGGGGCTTTTTTTTAAAATAAATTATTTCTTAAAAATATACAAATGAAAAACATAAATTGCAAGTCAAGCAAGTTACACCTGAATACCTCTAAACACAAGAGAAATTAATATGAATGGATATCATGATGCAGGCTGCAACACTTTCCCACCAGCACACAGCAATTTATGCAAACTTTCACAATAAGAATTATGCCACCACTTCAAGGTTAGGACCATGGTACTTGCAAGCTTGTGCGTGACAAGCATGTGTGATCATGACTGCTGTAGAAAAGAAAAAAATGAAAGCACTGAATACAGATAAACTTGCAACAGCTCAGTGGCTGAAAAAAGGAGTAGTGCAGGACACAAGCCAGTCTAGCAATGAAGTCCATGTTTGCCAGCCACATTGCAGGGTTCACACAGTCACCTGTCTGCTTCCGCTTAGTACAAGGTACGTGAGTTGGTCTATGATATCTTACAGCTGGTTTTAAAATGATTTTCCTGGAAGGAGAGCGGGTCTGAATTTCTGATTTTTTAGTAAGTTCAGACTTCTTATAGGCTGTTAGAGGAAAAAAAAGCAAATATTATGAGGACAGGAACAATGTGGTAGGTCAGGTGGAATGATCAATATCCACTTTTAATTTAAGAAATTAATCAGGAAGAATTTAGGAAATTAGATATTACGACTTCTTGTTATTGTTTATTGTTATCTAAAATTTCTACAGTCAAATTTCTCAGCAAACATAACATTATTACATGGGCACAGTACAACCACCTCACATCACAAAAATGCAACAAGAAAACATAAAATGCTTCGTTTGTATGAACCTTTTCTCCTTTTCTTGTCTTCTTTGGAGACTGTAATGATATCTTTTTTAATTATTTTTCTCTCAGGCGTGGAAACTCTGTTTTTCCCAGTTTTTAACACCTTGCCTTTCCTATGTTTGTCTGAAGACAGGCTGATGAATTCCTTCTCTGCCTTTTCCTGTTTAGTAACAGCAGCTGGTTGTGTTAGAATGATACTCTCTTCATCTGCAGAATTAAAGTGCAAGAAATCACTAATAGCAACAGGGCTCAAATACAGGAAAAAGAAAATTCAAGTTCCTTTTTAAAAATTAAGTAACATTAAATAATATAATATAATGTAGTGCAATACTTATTTATTTTACTTTTAAGAGATTTTTATAATTTAGTCATAGCTGATAGCTATTAAGGCTTTATAGGCACCTTGAGTATCCATCCAGAGGCTGTCTGTATCCATTACAGATTCATCAATGCTCTCGTCCTCTTTCAAGTCTGTAGGGATTTCAATTTTTTCCGGGATCAGTGCAATTTGGACAACTTTTGCAGGGGACTCATAAATCTGTCCTTCTGTTGACCGGGTTTGTTCACTAGGGGTAAAAACATCCTCAACATCACCATCATCGGGCATGGCAAACCTCACATTATGACCTACGTCCTTTCCTCCTTCTAGTGTGGTCTGAACAACTGTAATAATGTCATCTTCTACTGTAATGACAGATTCCACAATTCCCCTCTCCTCTTCAGTTTCTTCTACGGGGATGTTTTCAGATGCTTCATAGTCACCGGGGTCTTCATGTAGAACAATTTCTGGCACAGGAACGTCAAATAACAAATTGGGCTTGACTTCCTCTTTCATGGTTTTCTGGGCTTCAGCTGGTTCTTGCACTGGAACAGCTTCAAGGACTTGCTGACCACCGGATTCTGCTTTAGAAACTTCACTTGGTGCAGGTCCAGTTTTGCTTTCCATGGTTTCCTCAGCTGGGGCTATTACGCACTCAGCAACAATGTTGGATAAACCAGGCATCACAACATCTTTCACTCCCTTCTCAGTTTGAATAATTCCTTGCACAGGAGGGGATTTTTCAATTACTTTGTGATCATAATGCATAATTTCTATATCACCACTTGGTGCAATATTGTTACTGGGAAGACAGGGCTTGGTATCGAGCTCCCTAATATTATTAGATTGAATTGTTTCTGGAGCAGGGCCAACCTTTTCAGTTACCTGATCAATTTGCTCCATTTCAAAACCTACTTCAGGTACTGTATCCTCACTAGGCAAAGTAGGCTCAGTGGAAACTATCGTCGTTTCTGAAAGTGGAGTGATTTCTTGAATAGGAGCAGTTTTCTCAGATATATTTTGACCGGCAGCCTCCAGTTTTACACCGGTTTCCAATATGTCAGCCTTAGTGAGTGGACTAGATTTGGATTCCACAGTCTCTTGAAGTTGAGGAGGCTCTTGAGTAGATGCAGTTTTCTCAGGCCCTTTCTGAGAAACAGATTCTGCCACAATCTCCTCAGCGGGCAATGTGGGCCTGGATGCATCTTCTGGGATATTCTTAGGTTGAACTGAGTCTTGAATAGGAGTAATTTGCTTGAAAATTGTGTGATCTATGCTGTCTATTTCTATATCTACATCTAGCACATTATCCTGCCTGGGCAAAGTAGGCCTTGGCTTATCTTCCAAGACTTTCTTGGGTCGAGCTTGTTCTTGAACCGAGACACTTTTCTCGGACGGTTGGTGATCGGTAGTTTTAAGTTTGAAACTCCCTTGTGGCACAGTAACGTCGCTGGGCAAAATGTGCCTTGGTTCATCTTCCATGGTTAATTGAAGATGTTCCTGAGGAGAAGCCTCTTTCTCAGACGGTTTGTTTTCAACAAATCCGGTTTTCAAAGATGTTTCCAATACTGCTACATTGCTAGGTAGATCAGACAAATCATTAGATTTATTGGCATTTTCGGTTTTATCATCTGGAAACTCAAGTGGAGAAATGTCTTTTGGAACTTTCTGAGTGTCAATGGTAATGGATATATTTTGAGTGCTAGATTCTCTCTGGGCATGGTCATCAGGTAAATGATCTAGTTCAGACACTAACTTGGTAACTTGGTTTGAAACACTTAACGAAACCGTTTCATCAGTCTTGACTTCGGACTGTGCTTCCAAAATAGTAGCAATTTTTAATTCCCTGTCTTCTGATAAGGTATTAATTCTAAAATGGGAATCTTCTTTCTGCTTATTTACATCTATTTGCTTTCTAATACTTTCCTCATCTATAGTTTGAGAAGCAGCACGGATTTGATGAAGGAAAATGCTGCCATCCTCCAGCGGACTTTTAACTTCCTCAGGAGTTGGTAAGGGAGCAGAGTATTCAAAAACACAGTAGCCCATTTCCTCTGCTTGATTAACATTTTTAATAATCGATTTGATGCTTTCGGTTAAAGCCTCTGAGCCAGAAGCTACATTTTTGGTGGCAGATTCGCAGGGCATGGATGCTCTTCGAACTATTTCGATTTCTGTACCTTCTGAGCTCAGTCTTGTTCTAGTAACTCCTAAATCCAACATTTCAGGCAGGTCAGGAACCACAACAGTGTCATTTTTGTAATCATCTTTCAAAGTACTGGGGTAAGCATATTGAGAGTCTAATTGCAGGCTTTCCGCGGCTGATTTCTCTTTAGCAACAGATACAGTTTTATCCTTTTCCACTTCGACAGGAAAATAAATTTGCTTCTCCTCAGCAGGTGTAGTTACTGGAAAGAACTCTGCTGACTCCTCTAAACTCATCCCTCTGGTACAGGCTAGAATGTCAGAAGCCAAGGGAGACAGAGATTCTGGGGGACCTTGGCTCTCTGTTTCCACCTCCAGTGTTATTGAATCCAAAGATGCTTCAGGTAAATTCAACACCAGCTTTTGTAGTTCTTTATCAATATTTGCATCAGCACTAGAATAAGTTTGTTGAGATATTGCTGTGGGGCGCTCCTCTTTGGCCAAATGGCTCAGCTGAATAGGTAAATGAGTTTCATTTTCCACAGTGGATTTAGCTTCAACAGGCAGCGCTTTAGCCTGTACATCAACAGGCACAGATGTCTGCGCAAGTGTGCTATAATGAATTCCTTCGGCTGATACATCATTTTCAACTTTGTGGGCATCCACTTCCGATTTTTCATGTGGGCCCTTCGAGAATTGTGGCACCACGTGAGGAAGTCTTGAATTGTTTTCATCTGTAATGGTCATTTCATAATAACCATCTTCAGGTGGTTTGGTACCATTTTCCCCATCATCTTTCAGAACAAATGTTTCAAAATATTTTGACATGTCTGGTTGATCCTCCTCTATCTTGACTTTTGAGCCCACATTAAAGGACTCAAATTGTTTATTTTGCACCGTTAGACTAGTGAAGCTTTGGGAATTTTTATCAGAATAAACATTTGAATCCAATAATGGCTTCACATTTTGTGGTTCCGTTTCTTTCTCTTTAACTTTCTCTTGTTGAATGCTTTTTTCTTCAGTTTTCTTGGGTGTATCACCAACTTTTTTGATATTTGAATCCATACTACATGGCTCTTGTTTTATCCTCTCAAGCATAGAGTCTTGACTTAAAAGGGCATCACTTGTAATGGGATGCATGCCACATTGTACATTTAGATTAGATTCCTCCACATACGACTGGGCAGTCACAGCATCAGGCAACTGATAAACTTCTGCTACCTCAAGGTTGGCTTCAATTTCTTTAAATAGAAGATTAGTTGGTTGTTGTTCAGACACTTGTTTAGAGTATTCAGTTTGTAATAACTCTGTCGTACTGTACATTGTCTCTACTGTTGGTTTTCCATTCAAATGTTCTAAATGATGTTCTGCAGTATCTGTAGAGCTGTATTCAACACATTCCGATCTGTCCTCTGGCATTGAAAATACATCCGCTATATTTTCAACCAGCTTTATTGTATCTGGCGTATCTTTTCTTTTATCACTAGAACCTTCTAAAGCTACAGGTTTGTCTTCAATTGCACTGTGCGCAATTACAGGTAATTTGTCTATATGCAATTCCTCGTGTACTTGTTGCTTTTCCTGGAGCACGATTTGCACTTTGCTTTCAGGGACTGAAGTGTCGGTTGCGGCCAAGTCTATTTTTGCCTCTAGAGGAGGTAACACATAATTATCGTCTGCTACTGTTACTCCTGTAACTGATTGCTCTTTTTGTGAAGTAACTTCACTGTCCTTCAGTGAATCTTTTGCAGAAGCTATTTCAATATTTGGGGAAATAGCCTTTTGTTTACAGATATCTGTATCTGCAATCCCTGTACTGGGCTGTTTTGATGAATCTGGAGTTTCAAAACTATCAAGAGATTGTTCACTTTGAACTGAAACAGATTTGCCAGGCAGTGCTTCTGCCAGACTGTTTTGTGGTTTCATGATTTCATCTGTTTTCTTGGCAGAACCTGACTGCATATGGATAGCTTTATTCTCTGCTGCCACCACGGAGATGCATTCATCTTCACAAACACTGGACTGCAGTGAATTTGCATGATGGCTAGTTGCGGTTTCAACATTAGAAGCCGCTAAGTCTTCTCGACGTGGCTCAGTCTTGAATGAAACAGGAACAGGTTCTGTTTGCAAAACAGCTGAAGTTAAATCCTGCTTCTTGGAATCGGCTTCCTCCGCTGTTTGGATGGCGTCATCATTATATTTTTCCAGTGTCAAAAAAGGTGGCAGGTCAGATTTTTGCTGTTCAGGAATATTCTTATCTTTGAACTCTGTCACTGACACTTCTTGCAACGACGATCTTTCTCCACAAGTAACAGAGGATTCTCCACTTGTTGACAGCTTGTCCATCTTCGTGGCTGTAAGCAAATCTAAAGTAGTTTGTTGCATGCATATAGTTAACTGTTACTAATAGGGAAAACCATTCTATTTCATATATTCCTGCCCCCAGTCAAAAGGGTGTGTGTTGAATAAAAATGACAAGTGCAAATTTGTTCAACTCTGCAGCAAAACATTCAGCATTGGTGAAAACAGACTGAATATAGTATTGGGCCTAAACTGTTACTAAGCTGCAACTGATTCTCAGACTTGCTTAGTTATACTTAAAAGAAAACTACATTTTTAAGATAAGTTAGCAATACATTAATTCGGAAGAAAAGATACACAAACCAACCGCTAAAACTTCTAAAATTTAAAATTCCGTGTTATTTTATTCTGTAAGATGAAAACAAAACTATACTGTATTAGTTGATCAGTGATTTATCTCAAGAATAAAAAGCATGTTTGTTTCTCTATTTATCTTTCCAGATGCATCTCTTTGCTTTCTTAGAAAATGGATGAATATATATAATGAAGCTTTTTTGACTTTCCCTCATTGTCTTTCTTTTTAAAATATGTGTATGTGGCTGTCTTATACTCTACATTGTTTGCCATATTTCTATTGCTGACTGATTTTTTTTTGTGTGAATGTCTCTTTACCTCCATTTCCATTTTTAAAACCTGCTCTTTACACCACTTATAATCTTGTTTAAATTTTATAATCGGTTTTTCATCTCTTTGGGAGACGCAGATGCATTATAATTCTAGTCAGATAAATTCTTTGGTGTCTTCCTTGACACAGAAAGGGTGTGGGTTATGGAGTTCAAGGGCAGAGGAGAAGGTATGCAAGGGTTGTGCTTCTACACCAGGATATATACTCTATCAACATGCTTGCCACATAAGTCTTTATATAGCTAAACACATTATCCTCTCAATAATTTTAGCACAATCCTATTTATGTCTCCAACTGTACACTTAATTAAAAAAACAGCTTCTCACTAACACCATTTTCATTCTTAACCAGCTGATCTTCTTAAAAACAGAAGTGATTAATTAATGGTAAGCACTTGCCATTGCCCGAATAAAATAATAAATGCAAGATGCCAGCACCAAAACACGAAGCAAAACAATCTCTTTTCAAAATAATCCCAGAGATAAGCTTAAAAATACAGAAATGCAACTTAAAAAAGCTTCGAATCATGAATAAGTCTACGAATTAGAAAGCAAGTGAATCAACTCTAAAATAATTAATACACATTAGCAATGTAGCTGGCAAACATTTAGGCAATGAAAAGCCTGTGCTTTTTTAAAAATAAAATCAACTTGGCTGCAAAGCGTGTGACATCATGGAAACAAAATAACTCAAAATGTTAGGAGTGGTGGGAAATTATTGTTGCTTCTGTCGCCAGCATCAGTCAGCTAAAAGCAATTTATGCACAATGATTAAATTATCCTGAAAGCAACATATCTACCAGTAAACACTTGGAAGTGATACAATACTCAAAAGGCATTTCTTATTTTGTGGAAGTCAACAGGAAGACACACCTTCTACAGAAGGTGGCATTTCTTCCAAGGACTCAACTTCCCTAAGAGTCATTCCCTTTCCATTGGGAATTTCAGCTGGCACACTGTCTTCAGTTGATGATGTGGCCTCCATATATTTGGAATCCCGAGCCTGGGCTCCAGCTTCTGCTTGCACTAAGTGCGCAGCAGACCACTGCTCTTGGACATGCTCTTGCTTAAGAGCTAGTGCTGGCTCCTCTTCATCAGACGCTGGACTCTCAACAACTTTTTCTACTCAAAGGAAGAAGTGGACATGTCAGGACAAGAGACAACACAGATGCTATAACAAAACAGTTTTAATGGGACACTTTCAGCTCTGTTTTGAGGAAGTAACCATGTCATTTAAATACAAATGACAAACAGAATTTGGTTAAATAACACTGCCTGAAAGGGTGGTAAAAACATATTCGAGAGTAGTTTACAAAGGAGTTAAGTGTATATTTGAAAAAGAAAGATTTCTCAGGACCATGGATGAAATCGGCAGAGTTACTACTGGACAAACGCTTTCAAAGCGCTAGCATAGCATAAGTAAAATGGCGTCACTTTCTTTGATTGCATGCATATATTTTCATTACTATGAACAGAAATAGTATATTTCTTTTGACCAAATGCAATCCATCTCGGAATCCGTTTTCATTTTTAATCTGTTTTGATGGCAATTGCTATTGTCAATTTACTTGGGAATTTAAAATCTACTAAAATTGCAGAAATTCATGATGACAAAGTAATGGCTCATAGCTGCTATACTTAATTTCCTTTTAATGTTTCATTAGAAATTACTAATGAATGAGTAGACTCTTCCAGACTAAGATTTATAGATGTACAGTTTTGGTGTGTTTTGATGATTTATGGATATATTTACTTCTAGCATAGTAAAATACCTGTAGTCACACTAACATTTTATGCAGTTGTGATTAGTTTTGTGTGTCACAAAATCACCTTCAGCTTTTTTTTAAGCATCAATGAAGAAAAACACAATATATACTGTTATGAAGCAGAGGTCGACACCTCTCTGATAACTAAAACTGAAAGCCCCCATAGAAGCTCGCCTCACCTTGTAATCTGTTAAAGTAAATGTGACAAGTGGTATAACCTGCCTCTCACCTCACAATCTGTTATAAAGGAGAGGTGAAATAAAATGAACTCCTGACAGTCACTCTACAATCAACAAATAACAATTTATTTATCTAACAAATAACAATTTATGTACCTAACTCTAACAGTTAACAAATGAACAGAACTACTAACAAACTGAATAACTTCTCCCCACTAACTACTAACTATTCCCAAATGAAACAAAATTCCAATGGCATGCTGTTCCAATAAATACAAGTCCTACTTATATAAACCAAAGTAATAAGAAAAATAATTTAAAACTTAGTCTCGTAAAATTACAGCCAGGATAAGTCTTCTGGAATGTTCTTTGCCTTCTTCGCTGTTGTCCAGTCAGGAATGCCTTTCTTTGTCAAATTCTTGTGTCAGGAATATTAGCTAAGAGTGCTGCTGTATCTTTAGTTTAGAAGATGGTTTTCAGAGAGCTTAGAGAATTCTAATAGAGTCAGTGATTCTTTGTTTTATAGCTGAGAGCTGTTCTCTTGGCAGATGACAGTTGACTCTCACACTGATTTTCAAATGCCCTCTTCTTTTATTCTCTTGATGACCTATTAATTTCTTACAATAGGATTGGCCCTAGGTTGTCAAAACCATCAGATTTAAATTTAGTTGGGTTTTGGTATCTAGGGACTGATTTAAATTAATCGGTTAAGTTCAAAAACCTGTCGTCTTAGTAAAAATGCTGCTTTGCCTGCTAACAGTATAGCCTTTTGATACAATGTTTCAATTTCAAGAACTCTGTGCATCTATTGCTGCCTGCAGACATTTTTTTAACCTCCAAGCTTTAAAAATTATATTTTTAAGGGACAATGCGCTCTTCCCCCTATCATTTTACAAACATCAAATTCTAAAATTCTGCCTTCCAATCCACAAATACTCTACCCAACTTCACAATAATATACCAGGAAGAACTTTCACAAAATAGTTTTCCAGATTTGCAGGTGAAGGGTCAACTTCCACAGATGCAAAGCATGATGTTTTCTCAAGTGAGATATACACACATGTCCTCAACATGACAGACTTTACATGGCTTTTACTGGATATACTAGCATGTGTACATTTTACTGAGCAGAACAATGATGCCTGAAACCAACTCTATTTGCATTGTAAAGAGGGCACTCCTGTTAATTATTCATTTTTGCACAGTTTAACTGCGCTTTGAATCCAATTTTGCACATTTTGCAGCAGACTTTAGCTTAAAATTATTAAATGTGAATTGTGGGAGGCATTGGGATTCTTTACTAAAGAAGAATTTTAAGAACCCACTGAGTCTTCACATTTACTGACCTGTAAAGCGGATTCTGCACTCTTAATAATTGTATGTCAAATTTAAAGCAACTTCCAGCAATTTATTTTAGAAATACATATGGCTTATTTAATAATTATACCCTTTTTAAAAGAACTGTTATCAGATTTGCAACAAACAGCACAATATTTTAATAGCCATGCTTCATGTCATCAAAACATTGTATGTGAATGAAAAACATATTTGACTTGTAGTTTCTGATTTCACGGTGAATTATTACATGAGCTGACACTTTCTCATTTAATATGGTACGGTACTTTGCCAGTTCAACACTGCAAATAAATTAGTGTCACAGGCCAAGAGCTGAAAGTGTTTCAGTGATTTACATCAATACTGGAATGAATATAATTTAGCATGCCAGAAATGAAAGCTATGTGGAGCACTCTCATATTTAGTGCAGCATTAGGTGAAAAACCATTGAATAAAATAACAGTTAAGTGCACTGAATTCATGATTCATACACTGTTTTATCCAATGTAGGAAGTCCCCAGCTTAGTTCTAGTCACATGCTGAATACTGTTAAAGCCAAAATGTTTGTGTGGTAATTTTTTTTAACTATGTTACTTTTGACATATCAAATAAAAGCTATGAAGTTATATTCATTTCTCAATTAGGTAGTCAATTATTGTGGGTATTTTGATTTTATTTTCTTGAATCATTTGGGGTGATTTGTGCTCAAATTGAGAGCTGTCACTAAAAGACAATGGAACAGGTTTCAACTTGATCCTGCTGAGTTTTATCATCAAGTCAGTTTGGACGCAGAGTGAAACTGCCTTCTACATTACTCTGGTATCTGTCTATACGTGAAGCTATTTTCCACATCAAAATTAATTTAGAGGCAGCTTTGTATCATCAGTTACCTCTCACTAAGTGGAGTCAGACTGTCTAACTGATCATAAAGCCTAAGGTGTTAGCAATTTTGGTGCAAAAATACAATAGTAACTTAAGATCAGAAACTTGCAGTTTTTGAAAATTAACATTACAGTAATCTTTTCCCCAAGAAGCAATTAGGTGGCACATTCCACGTGGATTCTTTATGGCACTAACTGTAAACTGTTGGGTACTCTATCTACTTTGGGTACTATTCTTTAAAAATAATAAACTTGTACGCAGACTTCGGAAAACCTGCACGTCTCAATGTCTCAACTGTACGAAAAAATATATTTTATGGAAGTTATGAAAATATTTATCAAAATATTATATATTTCGTAAAATGCAATGTTTGTGTCTACGGAATTGAGATATGCAGGCTTTTGAAAGTGAACTTTTTTTAAAGAAAGGAACAAGTCATTTTCTATCTTGCTTTAATATGTTAGCTAAGTTGTTTTGTTCTTGCACTTATCAACCTTAGATGTTCCATTAAAATTAGTGGGATGGAGAAGACAATCATACAAAATTGGAAGACCATAAACTCAAACTCTTAATATTGAGTATGAATGATCTAATTTTCACTGAAATTCTTAATGGGTATTTGTACATTAAAAATTCAAATACAATACACAGAATTACGTAATAGGCATTCTCCACATATAATACAAAGGTGAATCAAAATTTAATCTAGCTTCATGGATATCTAAAAAATAGCTCATGTGTCGGCAATGGACTTTTTTATGTATTAATTCAGAACTTTGCTAAATATGTTTGGAAAATTGACCCTTTTTGAAGTGGTTTTTAAGTGTGCAAGGGACTTCACTCCCATGTGGAACAAAACAATTGGACTGGTGAATTCATGCAAGACAAAACCAAAGGGAGGGAGAACAATAAAAGAGGAACCATGCTTGGTTCACCTTTGTCCTGACTATACAACTCATCTGCCTGTTGAACTGTGGCACTGGGGAGTGTACTAGTGGCAGTCCATTGTGAACTGAATAAAGGATGCTCATAGTACTCCTCATCAGAATTGTAAGGCTCTTCGTCGTGAACAGAAACAGAAATGGAGGGGGCTAGGAGTTTGCGCTTCTCCTGAGTGGTGGCAGGCTGATAGCTTGAGCACCTTTGGAGAGGTTTTGCCTTAACCTCAATCCCTACATCTACAAATAGACACAGGGGTAATTCGACAAACAGACACAGGTTCACAACAAATACATCAGCTAAGTAAGTGTGATGAAACTAGCCATGAAGCAAATACTCAAGTCCTCATGAAATAAGTAGATCAGTGCTTACCTAGGAAGACAGCACTGTCAAATTATGCATTTAAAAATTCAAGGCCATAACAAGACTTAAACAAATACTGACCTCAGCAAAGCTCCAATAGTCATCTAATGCGTAAGCCTATGCTACACACATCTGTATGTAAAGAACAGTGGTGAACTATTGACACCAAACTTGGAAATACTGTGAACTTTGAGGGTAATAATAGACAGAAGCAGGCTGGTGGTATGAGCAGATGCATGCAGAGTGAAGTTCAGTGCAAAGAATCATGAAATGAACCACTTTGGTAGGAAGAATGAGAAGTAATCTAATATAAAGAATACATTTCTAAAAATCATTCAACGCATGAGAGACCTGGAGTTTTAACTGCACAAACATTTGAAGGTGGCAGGGTAGCAAGACAGTGTTAATAAGGCACTTGGGATCCTTGGTTATATAAATAAAGGCATTGGGAAGGATGGTATTCAGGCTTTATGGTCCCAATAACATCCCAAATTCATACCTGCCAACAAGGCAACTTTTTTTTTACTTTTCTGGAAACATCCAGCAGGATCACTGTCCAATTAAGGTAGTGAGCTCCTGAGAAGTAGGTTCTGCTGAGGCAGGTCAGGGATCAAGAGGGCATCCCCAACATGGAAGCATCCACAGAGAGTAAGTAAAAGGTTAACAGTGGGCCAAGCAGGCAGCCTACTCTGGATGGCTCCTTTGGACTGTGATGGACAGCATTCCTTGCCTGCAGCGTCCTTTATCTTAACATGATTCCACCAGCTCAAACTGCCTCCTGCACAGCTACAGGGACATGTCTAATACTGCATCTAAGAAATGTCTAATCTAAATGACTGCCCAATTCTGTCTGGCACTTAGCCACTCTGAATACGATTTGATTGGTAATGCACGCGACATTTTGACAATAGTACCAGGGTGAGAGATTTCAGTTACGTGGATAGATTGGCTGGGCCTATTGTATTTCAAGAAAAGAAGTTTGCAAAAAGATTTCACAGTCATGCTCAAAATCATGAGAGCTCGACTCAGGGTGTGTAAAGAGAATTCGGCCCCATTGGCAGAAAGGTCAAGAACTGGACAACAGTGAGGTGAGGCACATGGCAAAAAGATAATGGTGACACAAGGACAATTCTTACAGAGCAAGAGTTTCAGATCGGAAGTGTACAGCCTGAAAGTGCAGCAGAATCACATTCAATTGTGATTTGCAGAGGGAGCTGGAAATTCTCTGGAGAAAATTTTAGGGCAACAGGGGAAGGGCAGGGGAGTGTGAAGAGCTGAGTTGCTCTTTTGGAGAGCCAGTAAAGAATCTGAAAAGCCAACTGGCCAGCAAATAAGCTGTAACCAATTTGTAATTCTGTGTTTCTAGACTGTAATGGATTACTTTCCAGTGCATCATTTACTTGTTAACCACAAATATTTTACTTTCTAGTATAATTTTATGTTCCTTCTAGATGTGAAACTTGAACTTGCCTCTATGAATACCAATTGTTTTCAACTGTTTTCTGTTTTTTGTTACAGCATTCAAAATCCTATTTAGCAGCACACGAGAAGTACAAATTGTCACAGAGATATCTTCTAATAGTTGACTTTCTATTTTGAACAGTGAACAAATTTAACAGCATGGGAGTCAAATTCAGAAATCAGAAACAGGTGGTTTGAAACATTGCCCCATAGTTTAACTTTATTTAATCAAAACCTATTCGGTCTAATTGACTTTTTCTAGCAGTGAAAACAAATCATAAAAGATAACTGCCTAAAATGCAGTTTTGGCAAGACGGTAACAGGGCAGAGCGCTCCTCCTGTTCTTTCCGTTTCGTTTCTTCTCTCTCTTTTTAGCAGTCCTGCAGCAGCACGCAGGGGAGCTTGAGTCCCGGAGCAGTGCCAGGGGAACAAGTCCTGGAGCTACGCGAGGGGAAACAAGTCCCGGAGCAATGCAATGCAACTTTGGTGCAGCTGAGTACCAGTGCAGAGTGGACTGGAGGCTTGGAGCAGAACGGAACAGTTGTTGGACTCAGGCATGGCACGGGTGGTCAGATCATGTGCTGAGCTGCTGCTGTTTGAAATTCTTTACCAGACTGTCATGTCAATCCTTTAGCTATGTTATAACTATCTTAATTTTAACTTATTTTTTAGACACTAAGTAATGCTACTCCTTTTCCTCTTATTGTTCTTTGGTTTCTAAGATTTGTACCTAGGTAATGGTACCTAAAATGGTGCCATTAAAGGCAACCACTGTAAAAACTTTTCACTGTACTCCTGTGCTGGATTACATGTGACAATAAAGGATATTCTATTCTAAGATGCTAAGGAAACAAAAAAAAATAACAAAAGGATTTAAAAGAGCTTGCATAGTCTTTCATTCCCTGACAAAAGAACAAAACCTGCAACTAGCCCTCCTCACACTTGAATTTATCATCAAAATTAAACAAATCCCCAAATTTATCTTAAAAGGTGATAACTGCATGTTCTGTTGATATATTACTCTCAATACAAAAGTAGTATTCCAAATCACACGTGATAAAAAAAAACAGTATTTTCTCAAGGAAGTTTTGAACTGAAGTGATTGCACTGAAACGTTATTGTTTTGCCTTGCACATCCCAGGTATTATTGTTATTCAATTACTGCATGGCCAGTTTCATCCACTGATGTAGGTCAAATGCCAATATGTTAATCCTTGCAAACCATCAAAATGTTTCAATGAAAACATGGAAACATTGAAAAATTCAGTGGTTAGAACAAAAAACACATTTTATTTTAAAATTGGATTAGAATTGCTTCTAATCAACAATTTATTCACACTCATGCATAAAAACAAAAATATTTTTCAACAGTCAAAAAGAATTTATTGATTTCAGTGCTCAGAGGTATGACCACACTATTCTCTTACCTTTCTCTGCTGGTCCAAAGTGCTCGGATGCTGGAGAAGGTGGTGGGGACGGTGGTAAGTTGGCAGAGTCTTCTACTGTTTAATTAAAAAGAACAAAATGAGGAACAGATGCTTTAGTAGGAAACCAATAATAATTTGACCATCACTATATAACTTTTTAATCCGCGTGATAAAAACTCTTTATAAACTAAACAGATTTTATCAGAGCCAGCATGAAGCAAGATAGAAAAAAGTGAAGTTGACGGCCTGTATCACAAAGTTGAATTTTGTTTTTTGTGGGACATGGACACTGCTGGCTGGCCAGCATTTACGGCTTGTCCCTAGTTACCCTTGAGAAAATGGTGCAGAGCTGCCTTCTTGAACCGCTTCTGTCCACCTTGTTGCTGATAGTAAAGTCCCACCAGTGGCAAGGAAAGCAGGATGAGATCCCACTTGGGCTGTTTGCTGGACGCCTCGATAAACTTTTACCAGAACTGGGGGTCAGTTAAAGATGACAGCCACAATAGATGGTCAGCAGCACTCTAGCTAGTTGCAACTGGGCTGGAGCATCTCAGTGGCAGGGCATCCTGAGTGACAGGTCAGTGTGGTTGGGTGAAGGCAGCGACTAAGAATGGTTAGGGCATAAGGCTCAGTGAGCCATAGAGCACCCATTAACGTCAGCACCTTGAGGAACCCACTGGGTCTTTCCTGGATCTCCTCATGAGGTGGTGGGTAGAGGCCCTCAATTGAGCATTGAATTGAGCATTCAAGTAGCTCAAGTGACTGCGCAGTGGTCAGGTGAATCACTAGATTCCCCATCATTGGGAATAAAACTTAGCAGTGGCAAGACATTGGGTTTCCCTACTGAAGCCTCCTTCTACCTTTCAATCAGTGAACAGGGAAAGTTCTGCCATAATGTGCTGACAAATGGCCATCAATCCAGGATATGAACTTTGTTTTGCTCTCCACACGTACATCTCCAGCATTTCCTGATTTTATGAAGAGGTGGTAAGGAATGACATTGACCAATATATTTGCCGGCAGTCAAGGGAATAATATTGGTGACCTTGATGTTACGCTCCTGCTTAATACTGTAATATTTGTTTGTTTCCTTCTGGTGTCTCAAGTTGGGAATACCTCTACAGGAAACAAATGGACATGATTCCAGGCATATCTGGCTAGAAGTTGGTGGGGGGGGGGGGGGGGGGGGGGGGGGGGGGGGGGGGGGGGGGGG